TGGAAAGCATATTCTTAGGGCCCGATCAAGCCCAGCGGAGCCTCCTGCCAGCCTCAGGCTAGCAGGGAGCACTTAAGGTGTCTAGAGATGTCTAGAGGATCTGAGGAGTCCAGTTCTAGCCTCTTTCTGACTGAGTCAGGCCTTCAGGTGAGTCTCACTTATTCCCAAACACATGACACCTTAGGGAATGTCCTTCAAAGACTTTGTGTCACCCTCAGAATTCAACTATTATTGCACACTTTGAGTTCTCTGAGCAACTGGAGAATAAGACCTGACTAGGTCCATTTGTTTTAAGGCAATGCATCAAGATTTTTCAAAGTGGGGCTGGAGGAATAGCTCAGTGGTTAAGAGCGCTGGCTGCTCTTCCAGCGGACCTGGGTTCATTTCCCAGCACCCACATAGCAGCTCACAGCTATCTTTAACTTCGATTCCAGGGGATATCTGACACCCTGACACCCTCAGACAGACAGACAGACAGACATGAAAGCAAAACAAATAAATCATTTAAAAAGTGGTTTTTTAAAAGACTTTTTAAAGTGATCTTCCAGTATTCCCACCTAATGAGCATTTTTTCCCATATATTAAAATATAGCTCATGTTCCAGTGAAAGATCAAAATGTTACATGCATCCTAATAACAGTATTACTGAGTTGGCTGTTAGGAATGTCTGAATTTTGATGATAGTCTCACTTGATTTTCATAACAGCCTTGTGAGGGAGATGTGTCTCCTTTTATACTTTGAATGTTCTGAGACCCTGGCTTCAGGCTCAGCCCAACCTTCTCTCCCATCTGCTCCTTCACTTACCTTTGCTTCTGGCCTATGCTCCTAAAGTCTCTACAGAGTGAAAGGCCAAATGTCTTTAATCCCAGCATCCCAGCACTTGGATGCAGAGGCAGACAATTGTCTGAGTTTGAGGCCAGCATGGTCTACATAGTGAATTCTTGGCCAGCCAGAGTTATGCAGTGAGACCCTGTCTGGAGGGGGGAGGGAGGCCTTTACTTATTGTGAAGATTTGGATTCATCTAACCCAGGGCTCCCAGACTTCCTCTTCTTCATGGCCTTTTATGCTCTGCCTTTCAGGCATCTACGGAATTCTAGTCATGCAGGAGCTTTTGTGATAGTGACTGAAGAAGCTATTGCCAAGGGTATCCGGAGGATTGTTGCTGTCACTGGTGCTGAAGCCCAGAAGGTAGGTCAGGCTGATGTGTGGGCCCTGCCTGTCAGGAAAGCTGTCACTGCACAGGATTCCTAGCTGTCGACGTTTAATCTTTTACATCTTGGGCTTAGGACACAGTGGCGCTTGCCATAAGGTCTAACAACCTGATTGTGTTGCCAGTGACCCACATAAAGTGTAAGGAGAGAATTGGCTCCAGAAAGTTGTTCTCTGACTCCGACATGTGTACCGTGCACATACACCACACACACATCACACAAGATAGTAATAGAAATTTCCAAAAACAGATAGCATCAAGGAAAACAGAATACATAAACTCTGCATCTCCCTCCCAGCACAGCTGTGTGTGGCGGGCAAGTCATTTCTCCTGCTTCACATGTCCCTCCCTTTCCACAGTAGCCCACATGTCCCACCTAATGTGAGGAGCACGGCACAAAGGACGGTCATTCTGTGCTAGCTTGTTTTGAACCCTGAGGAATGGCCATCTCACCAGGTTGAAAGGGCTTCTCATGCATGAGTACCTGGTTATCCTTGAACCTGAGTTACAGTACAGCCTTTGCTGGCTAGGTGTGTGTGGCCGGAGCACTTGCTCCCTGAAGGAAAAAAAACCCTGGTGTTTACAGCTCTAATTGTTCTCCTAGGCCCTCAGAAAAGCAGAGAGCTTGAAGAGATCTCTGTCTGTCATAGAGGCCAAAGTGAAGGCCCAGACTGCACCCAACAAGGATGTGCAGCGGGAAATTGCCGACCTTGGTGAGGTGAGGATGGCCTGCCTCTCTCTGCTTCAGGGTGGGCGCTCCTAGCAAACCTGAGGAGTAAGACCATCCCTGTGCTTGGATCCCTGTGCTTGGACTTTCTGTTCTTTTATTTGTTCGTTTTTGAGACACGGTGTTATTCTGCAGCCCAGACTAGCATAGAACACACTCCATAGCTCGGGCTGGCCTCAGATTTGCTTTGCCCTTATCTCTTTGCAAACATGAGCCACACGCTGGGTGGGGGAGGTAGGGATAGGGTTTTTTGTTGCTGCTGTTGTTGTTTGAGAAAGGCTACCACTATGCAACCCATGCTGCACAATGGCTGGTTATTTCTTGATATCCTAAGCTTCCAGCGAGTCTGCAGGCCTGGTAAGGACCAGGTCTCATCTTGAGAGCTAAGCCCTCTTTATAATGATACTTTCTCTCAAGCTCATCTGTGATGGCTGTTACATTAATAGAGTGTCTAGTCTTTTTTTTTTTTTTAATCCAATTTTTTTTTATTGAGCTATATTTTTCCTACTTCCCTTCTCCACTTACCTTGTCCCCTCCCGCGCCCCCCCCCCCGAGTGACTATTCTTAAAGACAGCACATATTTGTGCTTTCTTTCTGTTTTCTCAGACACTGCCCATGGGAAGCTTTGGCTCAAAGACAGTAGGGTGGGGTAGGGTAGGCTTGAATTTCCCCCTACCTCCTAGTAGCCCAAACCCGGACAGACTTCTGTTTTGGTTCCAGGCCCTGGCTACTGCAGTCATCCCCCAGTGGCAGAAAGATGAACAACGAGAGACTTTGAAATCCCTGAAGAAAGTCATGGATGACCTAGACCGTGCTAGCAAAGCCGATGTTCAGAAGCGAGTACGTCCTGGCAGTGGTGGCAGCTGGGAAAAGAGCCCAGCCCAAAGGTTTTCCTGGACAGAGGCTCACACGGTTTAGAGTCTGGGCTCTTGGCCTGAGCCTGTCTCCTGTGCTTCTTGTAGGTGTTAGAGAAGACAAAGCAGCTGATTGACAGCAACCCCAACCAGCCCCTGGTCATCCTGGAGATGGAAAGCGGTGCCTCGGCCAAGGTAAGCAGGGGCTGGGGACAGCATCTGCTAAGGAAATGTGGTGGTGCTCTAAGGACAGAGTTCCAGACTCCCTTGTAGAAAGCAGCGCTCCCTGTCCTGGTGCTATGACCTGACATGAAGTTGTCCCACAGGCCCTGAATGAAGCTTTGAAGCTGTTCAAGACGCATTCTCCTCAGACATCTGCAATGCTCTTCACAGTGGACAACGAGGCCGGCAAGATCACATGCTTGTGTCAGGTTCCCCAGGTCAGAACTCCCTACAGCCTCTAGACCCGCCAGGTGCCAGGCCATGGTGGTGCATCCTTTAATCCCAGAACTCAGGAGGCAGAGGCAGGTAGATCTCTGTGAGTTTGAGGCCATCCTGGTCTATAGAGTGAGTTCCAGGACAGACATTTAAAAAAAAAAAATTGCAAACTCTTATGCCAATGGGAAGCACTGTTTATAGCTTTTCAAAGAGGGGTTCTTAGTATTATTTGCCAAGACACTATGTGTGTGTACCCCAGGCCTTCCTGTTGGTAGAGGTAGATGTATTAACTACTGGCCATAGCTGCTCCTCTGTAGCAGCTGTAGAGTCAGTCTTGGCCTCTGGTAGCATCACCCAACATCACCCAAAATATGAGTGGGTGTTGGTGGCTCCCTTCCTTGTGGTATCCCGCTGTTCCCCACCTCAGTCCCATCTTCTATTCTAACTACCATTTCCCCTTCCTATCTTCTAGAATGCAGCCAACCGGGGCCTAAAAGCCAGCGAGTGGGTGCAGCAGGTTTCAGGCCTGATGGATGGTAAAGGAGGTGGCAAGGATATGTCTGCCCAGGCCACAGGCAAGAACGTGGGCTGCCTCCAGGAAGCACTGCAGCTGGCTACTTCCTTTGCCCAGCTCCGCCTGGGAGATGTGAAGAACTGACGGGAGGGAAGCCCTCACTGGGAAGTATTTCCCCATCAACCAGATGTGTCGGAATGCAGGAGTGCACCCAGGAGCACCTCGAAGACATTTGAGTCTTGGGACCTTTCGGTAGCCCTATCCGTCCTAATCCAGCAGTAACTGGAACATACGTGGAGCTGTCCTGTGATTCATTGCCCCTTTCCATTACTGCTCTGAGCCATACGTGTCAGCACCATCTGTCTAGAATCACTACCCCAGGAATTCTATTTAACATCATCACGATCATGTCTATATATAAGGCTTCTAGGTCGTCTGCAGGTAGGAAGCCTTTTTGCTGTGGAAAATAAAAAGGACCATGTGCAATATTTGATGCATGCATTCTCTTTTTTTCTCCTGGGGTAGGCCCTGGCTCCCTATGTTTGCAGAACACAGGCTGCAGCTCCAGCTGGTTCCTGATTGAAATTATCACAGAATACATCCCCGTGAATTTTAGGAGTGGCCCCTGGGATAGCAGAGACAAAATGGATGGTCTGAATTGATGCATTCAACAGAGTGGGGAGATTTCTATTGAAATTTTCATGTGGAGAAACACCTTTCTCAGTCTCTTGGCACAACATCTTAATGCCTTGGACCATGAATATCTCTTGTCTGCCTCCTTTTGAAGTTGCTGACATGAGTCAGACAACTAATACAGGAAGTATAAATATGCAGATTTCTGTCTCCCAGTAACTGCTGTGCTTACTGTTCTGTGCTTTTTAACCTAAAGTATAAAGTAGTTCAAGGCCCTGGCCTGGCCCTGCCCTAAAATGCAATTAGTCTGAGTCTACAAACAGCAGAGTCTGGAAGCAGTAGTGTGTGGGAGGTAGAGATACTGCCTGTTTATGCCAGTTCTTCAGGATGTTAGAAATATTATGTATGTATGTATGTATATATACATATGTGTGTATGTGTGTCTACATATCCGGTGTAGGAAGAGATTTCCATCAGTTTATTAAACAAGTGTTGAAGCCAGCTGGGGTACTGAGGACCCGAGTGAACAGCCTTAACAGGTTAGATTCATAAAATCAGGCCAGGTCCCAGCGCTGGCCAAGTAGAGCTGTACCTCCTCCACGCCTTCAGGTGGCAGTGCCGCCACCTACCGCTCTCCCGATAGGCTTCGCGCGGGCGCGCCTGTTTAAGTAGGCGGAAGAGCCGGTGCGCATGGTAGCCTAGCAGGCGGAAGTGGCTCGTATGCCCGTTGCCGCCATGCCGGGAGACCACCGTCGAATCCGCGGGCCGGAGGAGTCCCAGCCGCCGCAGTTGTACGCGGCCAACGAAGACGAGCCGCCCGCTGCCCGCGACCCGACGCGGCTACGGCCGGTGTACGCGCGCGCCGGGCTGCTGAGCCAGGCCAAGGGCTCGGCCTACCTGGAGGCGGGAGGCACCAAGGTGCTTTGCGCAGTGTCGGGCCCGCGCCAGGCCGAGGGCGGAGAGCGCGGCGGCGGCCCTGCGGGAGCGGGCGGCGAGGCCCCGGCCGCCCTCCGTGGCCGCCTGCTCTGTGACTTCCGCCGCGCGCCCTTCTCCGGTCCCCGGCGTCGCGCGCCCCAGGGCAGCGGCGAGGAGCGCGAGCTGGGTCTGGCGCTGCAGGAGGCCCTGGAGCCCGCGGTGCGCCTGGGGCGCTACCCTCGCGCCCAACTCGAGGTGTCCGCGCTGCTGCTGGAGGACGGCGGCTCTGCGCTGGCCGCGGCGCTCACGGCCGCGGCGCTCGCCCTAGCCGACGCGGGAGTGGAGATGTATGACTTGGTAGTGGGCTGCGGCCTGAGCCTCGCACCGGGACCCTCGCCCACTTGGCTGCTGGACCCTACGCGGCTCGAGGAGGAGCACTCTGCAGCCGGCCTCACGGTGGCGCTCATGCCGGTGCTCAACCAGGTGGCCGGCTTGCTGGGCAGCGGGGAAGGCGGCCAGACTGAGAGTTGGACGGACGCGGTGCGCCTGGGCCTGGAAGGCTGCCAGCGCCTCTACCCAGTGCTGCAGCAGTGCTTGGTGCGAGCTGCCCGCCGGAGGGCCGCCGTCGCCCCGTCCTGATTGGAAAAGCTTAACAACAAGGATGCGGGTGACTGCAGTTGTCCTTCTCTCCCAAACGGACCGGCTGCTGGTCGCCTGGTTTGGCTGAGCTGAAGAAACAGCAGTGGGAGGTAGCGTGCACTGAACCAAAGCGCTGGACAGCTGTGTTGGAACGCTTTAAAGGGCCTTAGCAGCCTTACTGTAAAGTTGGAAAGGACTTAAGCTGGATGACCTGGTAAATGAGCTGTGATCTTGTAAGGGATGGACCCTGTGCAGGCCAGCCGTTGGCTCCAGTGTATGTGGGATAAACTACTTTTGAGAAGATGGACAAGAGGACTTTGCCTTCTCACTACCCGAACTAAACATAAAAACCCCTTTTATACCTGAAAATACATTCTTGTGGTTTTTCTTGGTACTAGAGTTAGAAACAGTGCTGTTTTGAACTGGGTATGTGTTGAGTCTGTGTTGCCAATGGCTTGAGACAATACTACCTTAAATTTTCCTGTCTCTTAGCTCACTGTAAGTGAACCAGAATAACGTCCTTTAGAGGAGAAACTTCTTGCCCCAAGAGCAGTCTGAGATGAAGACCGAGGAGATGTCGGGACAGCCAGAGCTACACGAAGAAACCTTGTCCTGGAGAGTTAAATGGCCTCAGAAGTCTGGGTGCACACCTGTCCTCTCCTTTGGTTTGGTGAAGGACAAGACTGTATAGGAGTTGGGGTGACTGGAAAGGATTATGCTCTAGAAGGAAGCCCTGTCACTTCTTTGGCCAGTAGAGTAGCATAACTGGAGGTTTCCATGGCTTTGCAGAAGTAGTAGACCTTTAAACCCAGCACTGGGAGGAGGCAGAGGCAGGTGGATCACTGAGTTCTAGGGCAGCCAGAACTACATAGAAAAACGCTGTTGCAAAAAAAAAAAAAAAAAAGGAGTCCTAGGCTGGCTTTATTATCTAGTGTTCCTAGAAACGAGGCTCAGGGCAGGAATGGACTACGAAAAGGAAGAATTCCTAAATACTGTGGCATCATTTACAACCAGGCTATCCCTAAGGCAGAGCTGACTTGACTGACTAGGAGTGTAGGTCCTGATCTTCACGGACAGCTGAATTGAGGGAAGCTGTGTGAGACAGTTACAGGTATCCCAGGGATCTGCTCAGCCTCTTACAAGGATCTCATAAGAGCCCCTGACCAGGAGGAAGAAACACACTTTTTTTCCCCTTCTGACATTATTCTTTGTAGAGCAGGTCTGAAGTTAGTATTATGCTAGTGAAAGTCAAGACAAAAAAAAAAAAAAAAAAAAAAAACAACATAAAAATCCTCTGCTTATTTTGAAGGATAGCTTATGGCTTTGTAGTATACATGGTGGTGGCTTTAATCAAAAGGGGCTGGTTAGGTGGGCACACACATAACTTCAGTTCAGTGTCACTGTAGGGTCACAAATGTGTTTCACCACTGTGGCTGAAGAAAAGAGCTTCCACACCACCAGCTTTAGCCATGCATGGGGAAGGAAAAATAAGCAGTCTGTATTCAGTGAGGGCTAATAGTGCTCTTTGGGTTCAGGGTCCTCCTGCAAGACTGAGGTTGGTGAGATACTGCTGCTTATGGGACTCCCCTACCCTGCCCACCCCTGGACTCATGGAAAAGACCTCAAACGTGAAACTCACAACCACTGGGAGGTTTCTGGGTGGGTTGGCTGAACCACGCTTCTGTGTGCATTGCCCTAGTCCCAGAAAGGTCACTTCAGGTTGCTCGGGTGTGACCACTGGTCTTCCAAAAACACAGCAAGGAAACAAACCACCCAAGAACCAACAGAGCCTGGAAGGGTCCCCACCTCCTAGCTATCAGGGTCCGATGCTTGATTCTTCACCTGTAGGGTTAAAAGAGTCTGGCTTAGAGAGCAGGAGGCATAATAGGAAAGAAGGGCCATCTACCAAAATTGTCCATGCTAAGCATACCCATTACCACTGAGGCCTGGAAACCCAGAATCAGCAACCAAGAGCAAACATTCTTTCCCCGAAGCCCATTCTCTCCAGGCTATTGTGACTTAGGCCCTAGGCAGCAGAGAGGACTATCAGAGCCCATGCATCCTGGGTTAAGCAGGGGTTACGAGGGCATTCACTACCAACCCTGATCTTGAAGAGCAGACTTGGGAAGCAGTGTGGGGCAAGGGTAACAGGAAGATATGGCAGGCCAGAGAAAACTTAGGCCCTTTACTGCTACATAAATAGTCATTATCAGTTCAGATTTGGATTGTCCCAATCTAGGCAATTGGTATGCCACAGCTTCCCTGGGCAGCATGGTACAAGACCCAGAGGCAACCAGAAAAGTGGCAGAAATTCAACTTTTAACAAGCTTACCATGGGGCTTGGAATATGGAACATACCTATGGTATCCTACAAAGCTCAGATTTCCTGTGTCTCCTTTCCAGAAGATATTTCAACCCAGGACTGAACCAAGTGCCCAAATAAGCTGAGATAACCAACCAAACCCAGAGTCAAAGAAGGCTGGGGCGGGGCAGGGGTAGCCTGTCCCAGGCATTGCTCTTGGGTAGAGGTTGTAAGCCCCTGTCTGGACCCTGGTTCCTAGACAAGCCTAAGTGCCCTGTGTTTGCTCACAGAGAGGCCACTCACTGGTGGCCCCTTGTCTGTGTTTTTCACTGAGCAGCCTCTTGGTAGGCCTCGGGCCCCTGGACACCTGCTGGAGCTCAGTGTCTGTGCTGAAGAGCCCTGCTTCTAGGACATCTGTTCCCTTCACTATGTTTTGTTCCTGTTCTGAGAGTCAATAATCAGTTTGGAGGTCCCTGCTGACTTAACCGGGAGTCTAGCAGAAATCTAGAATTCCAGAGAACAAGAGGGAGACTGAGATAGCTGCTTTGACTCCAGACATCTGGAGGTACTAGGACAACCTAGATGTCACAGCCATGGGAACCGCCTGAAAGAGAAGCACAATACTGGGAAGGGAGGCCTACAGAGAGAGAGCGCCACAGGCTCTATCTGCGGGAACGGGAAAAACTGAGACCTTGAGAGTTGGGCTGGGCACCCTCTTGAATACCTGCATGCTGATGCCTCTGCCTCTGCTGCTCCATGCACTCCAGACTCTCCAACAGGCTGTCCACCTGGGCTTTGATCTGGCTCAGCTCCCTCCTGATGCAATCCAGCTCCCCAGTCTGGGCTGCTGAGAGAGGGGGCAGGGTTGATGCCCACATGAACACAAAGGCCACAGGGAATGAGAGCATACTGCCAGGACTTTCCCACCATCCTACTTCATATAAGGTCACCCAACTCCCTGGCACTAACAGTGGGATCTGTGCCCCTCACTCATTCCTTTTGTTTATTATTTTTTACTTGTTTATTTTTGGTTTTTCGAGACAGGCTTTCTCTGTGGTTTTAGAGGCTGTCCTGGAACTAGTTCTTGTAGACCAGGCTGGTCTCAAACTCACAGAGAATCAGCCTGCCTCTGCCTCCCAAGCGCTGGCATTAAAGGTCTGTGCCACCACCGCCCGACTCACTTTTTCTTGGCCCCAGGGGCAGATGGCTATTCCTGCAGGCCTTGTAAGGGCTGTAGGTGCTCTTGACCCTCGGACTTAGGCAGGTCCTGCGGCTCTTGGCAGGCACCAGGCTGATGAGTGGAGGGGTCCTCTTGCTTTCATCCACCCTAAAGATACAGGAGAGGAAGGAGCAGTCAAGCCAACTGGCCCCACCTCCCCCTTCCCCAGGACACAGCTGGCAAAACCCACCCATTAACTAGTAGGGTATGCCTTCTCTGTTCCACTCATAATTCAATTCACAGTTACCACCGCTGTGGCGGCAAATGAGGAAAAAAAGAAATTAGAGTCTGCTCTCCCTCAGCTCAACTTGGAAGAGTAAGTATGCAGTTCGGTTCTCCCTCCCCCTCCCTCCTTCTTCCCTCACCCCACCCCCCTTTCTTCCATCAGTTTTACATAGTCCTGCTTGGCCTCAAACTCTCTTTGTAGCTGAGGTGCTGACCTTGAACTCCTGATCATCCTATCCCTACCCGCCACTCTTCCTTTGAATGTCGTGATTCTTCGCCAGGAGACACCCTAGAGTCTTCCCCAAAGTCATTTTAGGAGACCACAGCAAACCAGCTTTTCCCTGATTGGACTCTGCTACTCCCATCCCCTACCCCTTACCCCCTACCCCAACTCTTCACCCCAACCCCTACCCCACCCCCAGGTGGCAGTAGGGAGACAATGACCTACAGCCCACTGCCCAGCCAAAGCCTGACCCTCCAAAGGCTCTTCTGCCTGAGCCAGGCACTGCTGATCTCCGGGATCTTAGTCCGGCAGAAGATGAAAGGGAAAAGTTAAGCCACAGCCCAAGGTCTCAGTGAGAGTATGGAAACTTTAGTCCTGGCATGGGAACTGCCAGAACGCAGGGGTCAGCAAACTCGGGGCCAACAGGAAAGGTTAAGGCTCCCGCCAAGTCACCTGTCCTTGGCGAGCTCCTAAAAGGTACCAGGCTCTAGGGTCAGTTTCACCCCGCTTCACACGAAGAGATCTGTGCAGAATAGTGGGTTCGGTACATGAAGGGCTGGGGAGAATACACGAAGCATTATCCTGTCAGGGATAAGGATGGTGAGCATGCTGAGTTGGGAATAGGGTCTAAAGTTAAGAAATTTTAGTCCTTCAGGTGCTGTCGCCTTCGCGCCCAGCTCAAACAAAGGCAGACTCCGAGATCCAAACGAAGGCTGCGGGTCTGCCCTTTCAGGGTTCCCAGAACTGTGATGAGATTTCCGGCCACCTCTGCTTCCTGGCTTCTGGAGGTCTGGGTGGGCGGTTTGAGGACATTCAGGACTGTTTCGGATTCCGGCCGGTAGGAGGAAGATAGAGTGAGCTGGCGCAGGTCATGGGGGAGAAGGCGTGCAGCCCTACCCAGCGATGTGGGACTGATTCAAAGAGAAGTGTTGTATGTCCAGGGCTCCAGATGATGAATTTCGAAAACATCTGTTCCACTCTCCAAACAGGGTAGAGACTAAACATCCTAACCAATAAGACACTTCATTGCAGCACAGCATTGGTGGTTCAGTGGTAGAATTCTCGCCTGCCACGCGGGAGGCCCGGGTTCGATTCCCGGCCAATGCACAGCTTGTTTTTCTTTGCTTCTTTATCCTTTATTTCCAATTTGCTTTTAAGTAGTGAGAAATGAGTGTGTGAAGAGAGAATACTCTGTCCAAATATGAGACGGCAGGGCGTTCACTCCTGCAACCTCGCCTGTTGCAAGCAAGCAGGAACCTCATGGTTAAGTTAGTTCCTTCACATACTGCGTAGTGACCCAGGCCCTTGACTATTTTTCTTCCAAGAGGAGCAATCTGGTTGCACTGGGACTAATTGCTTCAATTTGTCTAAAAGCTTGAGACTTCACACACAGGAGTGGGGAGGTGGGGAGAGAAGGCGAGTGAAAGGGAGAGAGGAGGGAGGGTTCTATAGGCAAAA